CGCCAGTGAGGAAAATACTGCGGGAGTAGTATCGGGGTTTACTCCAAAACTATTAAACATTTTTGTTGGTTAACCAGGCCACTCCCAAGTCTCTCTATCACCAAGCCCAAATTCGAAGTTTGCCAGTATCAGGGATATCCACCAAGCGCAAGTTGAAGCTGGTCATGTATCAGAAGATAGTAGTGATTCAGAACAGTCGGTAGCGCTTAGCTATATCGCCGTTGCTAGTGAATTGGTGGAATAATTGGAAGTTGAAAGGTGGTGGGTAGATGGTGGTGAGGGTGGGAGCATAGAAATATAATGGATTATTTATTATACGTACTATAAGAGTCGGGCCGCTCCCAATCTCTATGTTTAATGGTTGCGAGATAACCACTGAATGGTCGCTCGCAGCCGGACTACTATACGCTGTTTTTTTATTAGAGTGCCCGACTATAACAAAAGCTAATAGCATATCAACTAGTGGCTTACATATCTACCGCTTTATTCTACATGTCTAATTAGGCGTGGTCTCGGGAACCTTTACCTAGTTAATACACTTTTTACCGTATTACGTACACGGCATATTATACGAATCCTGCATATATTAAAGCTGGTCCTAACTATCGGCAACAGGGTAACATTCCCCTAAGTGTGGCTTAGGTATGGGTCGAAGGTAGAATGGAGATTAGGGGATGAAGACAGGAGGGAACCTACGAATTTGAAATGGGTGCAGCCTCACCTCACAGGTCGAACGGCAAGCAATGGTCTGGTATAGTCGCATACTATTCTCTTAATATACAACCACGCCTCTCTCTCTGATCTCGGGTCTTATAGAATTCTAGATATCGGATGCTTCCGACGGACTAGCTTAGATGTGACATGTTAACGCTCCGATGATTCACTAAAATGCCCCAAAGAGGTCAAACAAGACGTAGCTTCGTGGCCATCCTCAGAGATTCCAACAAGGAGGAGTCATCGGCCCGTTAGGTATATTTGTCAGAGCAGCTGTGAAGGTTACACGCACGTTAGCAATTACTGTTGGCGTCCTACAGGCTAACTCGGATGTCAACTCAGGGGCTACCTACGCGCCGACCTAGGACAGACCAGGATTGCACTTGGTTATCCACGTCAGTCCTGGGACTCAGGGGCTAACGATGCGATCGTCTTAGGTGGGATGCTTAGACCAATGTAGAATTGCCTGCCCGCCATAGATTTCACTCGTGCGTAAAAATATAAAAGCGGCCGCTAAACATCTAATGCTAAAGCTTTGTTTTTACTTTCTTGTTAACAAACCAAAAACTTCTTTCTCTTACGGAACTTGTATTGCCGCTTATCTACTCTATAAAATGACGCTGCAGCCGAGTCTTCTCCCACGAGACGACCAAAACACGCCGTGGAGGATCGATCTCCCGCAAGTTCCATTTCCATGCACTTTTCCGGGCACCAGTCTCCCTCTCGCCTTCCCTTATGACTTATCAGGAAACATGTTTTTCCTACCATATCTATTCGTTCAAATTCCGTGCTGCCAGTTTCATCAGAATATGCTATTCGCCCAATGTACGCAGACCATGTCCCACTGGACAGACGTCAATGCGTTCCTAACCTAGATGCGCACATGCATAAATTGGTCCATGACGTCGGTCTCGCGTCTCAATCCTTGCACCTGGCCATCTCCACGTAGATGCACCATCTCAAAGCCGGAATATGCTATTCCCAGCTGCGGCAGGGTACATTGGTCCTCGGCAGCTTTCTGCGCTCTGTCGGCGAGTTGCTTCGCAATCCTCAAAGACCGTCTCGCACAAAGCCGCGTAACATGCCCACCTAAAACCTGTAATGCATCCAACGTTATAGAAAGATCGCGACTATAGATATTAACTTTAGGATTCATAGTATAAATATATATATATATATATTAAGGACACGCTTACATGATTTGGTCAATCTTATCCGAAGCAAAGAGCAGGGGAATCAGGGAGCCTTGGGAATATGTGAACCATCGATTCGCAATACGTCTGCGCATTCGTACGTCATCCTCTGATAAGAAGGACGCAACTGCACTATGGTGAATTTGAATTGCAACAGTCCTGTCATCTTCCCCGGCTCCCGAGTTCACTCGGCCGGCCATCCGGCCCTTTTTAATAAGCTTTCCTAGCTGATCTATTACAACTGCCATTCGTAGGAAGCATAATCTTGCCTTCCATTGTTGTTTTGTCTTGCGGGCTATAAAGTTTTCAAGAGCTTGAAAAGCTAGGCTTACTTTTTTATTGTTATGAGTAATATCAGAAGGCAACTCGGTGTCTTAAAGTAAAACGGCGTACGTGCTAAACAAGTCTCGGCACTCATCTGGCGAAAACGACTTGCTGCTTTGTTCAAGAATGGTTCGCGCAAGTCGTCGCAACTGGCCATCGTCCCTCGCCTGTGCGCCCCTCCTCCTTTTACGCACCACGCCACCAGGGAGTGGAAAATCAACATCTATCGCGTCTTCGTTTCTAGCTAGCCGCATTGATTGTCCTTGACTATGTACTCAATCAATAAAGGACACAGAATAACGCCGTCATAAAACTGTTCAGACATTATCGATGCTGCCTTTATATCTTTTCTGTTCAGCTGTTTAGGAAGTAGAAAATTAGGAATACCTTTTTGCCCTGCAGCCGCCCGCCGAACAGCGGGTAAGACCCAGACCAAACCCTGTTGTTTATCGTTCTGTTCCCAGCGGCTATACTCTACCCAGGCCTCAAGAGAAAGATAGTCTTTGATAGTTCCTAATGCTCTCTAACTCTCTAATCATCTACCATGTGTGCACAATCCTCTTCAAGTCATAGACAGAGCTACAATAAGGGATCGCAAGAAGCATTCCGGGATGTGTAGGCAAGAGAGACAGATTCAAATCTAAATGGTAGAAGCGGATGACATGCAGGGTTCGGCGCCCGCCGCCGCGTTGGCCTCCATGAAACCTTAGTTAGTGACTGCCCTGCTCTGTCCTGAAACAGCCGCACTCACTAAACACGATTCGTTAGGGGAGCACTACAGCACCCTCGGCATAGGCATGTGGAGGGAACTACGGCCGCAACGCAACACTGGCCGCGCCACACCTTGATTAGACTGCCCTCTTAATTCTATGTTTTTAAACCCGGGCGGCAACTAGGAAAATTAGCTTGCTTTCTAAGCGCGACGCTTTTTCTTTCTCGTTTTTCTATTCTTTTCTCTATTAAAAAACAGGAGGGGAAACATACACAGCTCTATATGTGTGCTTATTCGCGGGTGCAGCACTATCTGTGATATTGCTAAAGACTTCCTCTTAAAGGCAGATTCCCTATAATACTCGTAGTATTTCACGCTTATAAAAATAAAAATAAAACCATTTCCTCATTCTTGGAATAATTCCTAGGACTACTCCTCCTTTGCATTCATTTCTCTCATTGAGAACAGATATGTTGCTCTTTATATTTTTGCTCTTGATCATGGGAGCCTTAGGCTTGGAGATTTCTGCAGCAGGGACCGTCGATTTCAATGTTGAGATTATAACAAGTACCAATCCAGGCTATCTGCATTCCCACCTCGACCATTGGCTTCCAACGTCATTTGCAACAGCATCAACCGCTAAACAAACCAGTCTCAGTCTCAGTCTCAATCCCTCATACGCCACACCAGACGCCGGGGGATCCGGCAGCCCAGCTCTCATCGCAACTCAATTGTCTGCCCAACCTGCTGCTAATACCACTGAACCTCTCTGCCACCCATTATTCAGGACTAGCCTGCCCATGATCTCCACCCCCGCGACTCAATGAAAAGTCCCGAAGTCCAGGCGATGTACAGGCGATGTAGCGCAATGTACCTCACGTCTCAGGTCAAGTCAACACGAGTCACTTCTGGACCTGGGATAAATGCCAAGATAGATCAATTTCTGGCTACTAGGCATTTGTTCCAAGCAAGCATCAGTGGTTTAGTGGTAAAATCCATCGTTGCCATCGATGGGCCCCGTGTTCGATTCACGGCTGATGCATACGTCTGTAACTTTTTTGGTTTGCCAAAGATTCTTAGTCCGACTCACTTTTCCATGTTCTCTTTATTTTTTATTTTTTTCACGATTGAGTGGGGACTGTTAGATAAGTCGCTTGCTAACAAGTGAAAGGAGATGTGTATTAATCACGCTATTAAACTTAATATGGCAGCTGTATTGTAATAACCATCGTGCCAGCGCTACCCACAGGTAAAGTAATACTTTGACTGACTGTCAATTAATTGACCTAATCCAGTCCAAATAATCGGTTTTAAATTGATTGCAGGTAAAGTAATAATTCTTTACCTGACTTGTTACTTGTCAATTACTTCCAATTAATTTTCCTATTCTTTTTTAAATATTTTTTTGTTGTTTTTTTTGGTAAAAAAGAGGCCTTCTTTTCCTAGGTAGGCTAGGTGGCACCCTGTTTTTAACCCCACGCATTCAGCCACTTACACAGCCACTTCACTAGCCACTGACTTAGCCACTTACATCTACCTAGCCTACATTCTACCACCTTACCTACCAACCACCCTACCTACCACCCTACCTACCACCCTACCTACCACCCTACCTACTTACCTACTTACCTACCTACACCTACCTACACCTACCTACACCTACCTACACCTACCTACACCTACCTACACCTACCTACACCTACCTACCTACCTTGCTTTCTACAATCTGTACGCTTTATGTACATTGCTTGAGTTACTTGGTCAATTAACTTGATCAATCAAGTCAATAGATTCAGGCAAGTCAGTCAAACAAGCCTTTTTTTGCGATCAATCAAGATAAAACACGTCAAAAGCCGTTTATTTGACTGACTTTACCTGTGGGTAGCGCTGCATCGTGCCTACACGTATGTTATCAGGGGCTGTCATTATGTTGTTGTGTGTAATCCAGTGAGTGAGTGCCTGGTTGAAAACTATCAGCAAAAGGCATTATAAATTAAACAGGGGCTGTCTATTGTGTATCAAATCTAAACCTATTTACACGGGTCATTTGTCATCCCGGGAGTTTGGCCGAGTGGTTAAGGCGCCGTGTTTAGGTAATGTTAAGCTCCACGCTTGACCTACCATCAAACCCGCGGTGGGAAACCGCGCAGGTTCGAATCCTGCAGCTCTCATGTTACTTTTGCTTCAGTTTGCATCATATTTTTAATACTCTTTATTACTCTCTTCCCTTCTTTATATATGTTAACTATTGATTTTACAATGGTTTATGTAGTGGGAAAGTACGACAGATAATCTTTGAAAAAATACCTCTCACAGCAGATGTTAGCTACGTAGTATATCAATTTAATTACCTTCATCTTTTTCTATAACTAGAATACTACATTCATTTGCTACAAATGGCTTCGATGGGAAAAAGACCTTGATTTAAATAAATATTATAAAAAAAATTCAAAAGTATATTAGGTTCATTATTGTTAAACTAGACACCGAGAAGCCTTTGCTGACTATAGTACACCAAACTTGTCTTTACGCCGTTATAAGAGAGTACGGCACCAAAAGCGAATAATCTGTTTGCAAACATCCAAGTTGCAGTTCTTTCATATTGAAACGAGGCGTGTAATGCAATACACACACTACGCACCCTGGAGGACTGGCCACGGCCATCTTAATCACTTCTAGAGATTTGAGAGGATAGCAACGAGTATTCTGGTAAAGCAATCGTATATTCTTGGTGTAGCAAACCCTCTAAGGGGAAGCAAAACCACCTAGTCGGCCACTGCCAAGTGGCATGTCTGTGTAATAGAATCTACTAACCTTCTAACTAAATAAGAAACAGAAAAAACTAGGCCTTGAAGACCCAATCAACCTATCTAATTTAACCGTGTTGCCCACACTGTCTCCATATGCGCATATAGAAAAACCACAGGGTTCAGAGCCTATAGCGATGGTAATGCTGAGTTTGAATTTAAGGCAAAGCTGGACTATAGAGCTCAGGGAGCTGCTGTTATAATCATTCTAAAGAGAGTTGCCGCAAATTTTTAACTTGTACAATATGTAAAGATATAGCAAAGCACAATGAAACTCAGCCTTGAAGAATGAAAGTCGCATTTGGGATTTAGGATAATGGCGCCGCTAGAAATAAGAAACGGCAGCATCACCCCTACCAAGATAAGTAGGAAAGGAGCTTGCTCTCAACTAAGAGAATGAATCACAAGGGACATCTATAGAGCAAGGCGAATGCGTGTTGCGACTCGGCTGGCTCAAGGGTATCGCAATGGATTTAAACGCAGGTTGTATGAGGGTCACCGCAGAACTATACAAAGCCTGTTGTCCACGTTTATTTAAAATATATCAATTGCAAGCACACCTTAACCGTATCATACTTCAAGTAAGAGACAGGGCTGCTAATGCAATGCCATCGTGAACCATATCTACTCTCACCCTCGCCTGTAACAAATGTTATCTATTGTTACAGCATTTCTTACATTCAGTTCATGACCTTGTGATCTAGTATCGTTTGCGCTCCCTGCCTTTGACACTCTGCCGCCAGAGACAGATTACGCTCTTACTTTCGCACCATTTCTTCAAATCGAATGGAGATACCTCACCATCGTATCCAACGCGTGTTAACTCGCCACCGTTAAGCCAAGATGCGAGATCTTCGAGAATAATAGGATCATAAAGAAGCATCTTCTCATGCCACGACGGTTTCGACGGGTCCTGTGAACGGGGTGTGGAGATCACAGCCTTGGTAATGTATTTAAATAACTCCGTTTGCTGATCAGTAGGCGATATCGCTAGAGACGTATCGCCTTCGTCCGATATCGTGAGGTCTAATGGAGGAGGCGAGGAGAATACGGGATCCGGCGACGAGACAGGTGATGGAGTCTCGTTCTCTGAGTCCTGGACTTCAATGGAAGCAATACTCGACTTTCTAGGGCGACCACGTGGCCGTTTAGGGCTTGATGGGGAGATGCTTGACTTTCTTGTAGATGTGGAAGCGGCCCCGTTCATTTTTGCAGTACTACGCGAGCGTTTGGGACTTGGTTTATCTGACGTAGTAGGCTTAGTGACTGGTACCACAGTATCATCTTTCCTTGGTCGTCCACGTCCCCGTGGCTTCGTGGCGGATTTATTCGATACAGCACTACTGAATTGCTGTTGGGTTGGGGTTAGACTACGAGTAGATGTCGACAAAGGTTGTGTTGTAATGGCTGATGTCCCTGGGTATTTACTCGCCCAACACTGCTCTAGTAACGCAATCATTGCAGTGCGCTTCTTTACCGGCTTAAAGCCGTATGATGTAATTTGCTGGCTGAGTTGGGCATCTGTAAATAATTCGTATTTGGGGCGTGGTTCGGTACTGGTAGCATTGACTGGGTCTTCTGATTCTAATGGTTTAGCGTCTAAACATTGCCCAGTACTCTGCGACTGGAAGAAGTATGAATTCGCCTGCCCAGATTCTGAAGATGCGCCCTTCACGGAGGTCACTAGCCCCGGCGTGTCCAATATATCGTCAATATCAACGAAGTTTCGACTGCTTGGCGTAGTGGCTGAAGTTGGTTCTGCGATTGTAGCCGGCACGTGCTGCAGGTTAATGGTTTCCATTCCTATCAACTCGCCATCTTCGTCACGTGCTCCAGCCTGCCATAACCGTTGACCTCCATCGTCATCGAAAGGGTCGGAATTCAGACTACCAGATGCGCGAATTGCGGCCTGAAGATCCCTTAGCGTTGTCGGAGACTCTTCCCGCACGAGTTGGCTCGATGTGCCAAAAACGAAATCCTGGTTGGAAGACTGCTTTAATGCGGAGCTTGGAGACAGCAAAATTGGGTTAGCTGACGTGCCTGCTTTTCTCTTTCGTGGTTTTTTGGCACCTGGCTTTGTCTCTTTAGCTTTAGGGTTTCTTTGGGACATGATGGCCGACTGATGCTCAACCAGTGTCTTGACGGCACCATCAGAATCAAAATATTCTAACATTGACTCCTTAGTTATAGGCCCTGAAAGTTCAAATTCAGGTGCAGGGGATGTTGCGAAAGGAGCGGTTGCTAGTTCAGTAATAGTCCTCGCCTTCCTCTTGGGTGCAGGTGCCTTTGGCTCAGCTCGCCTCTTCCGCTCTTTCGGCTGTTCTGAGTCCTTTGGTATATCCGTTTCATTAGGCTGTTCCCTCTGATCTCTTTGGACGGTAGATATTAGCTGGATCCGCTTCCGTTTTTGGAGAAATTCAGCTTGGGATTGCGGAGATGGATCTGGTACTCGGTCTGGTTTATGTCTTCCATACTGGGTGTATAGTGTTTGGAATACATCCTTTGACACTGGCTCTCTGTCAATGGATGAAAATAGCTCTCGAGCATCCGAGTCAGAGTCTAGGACAATGCGTTCACCGGATCTCGGAGGCGTCCAATCCCCTCGACGGGGAACGGCGATTTCTGATTGAGTATCTTCAAGAGTTCTGTCGACTGATTCTCCTCTACCAAGCTGGCTATTTTCGTCCCTGGCGTTGATTCCGGCAATCGAGTCCTCATCCCCTGTAGTAAAATGCCGAGACACCGTCTCCCTGGGATTGTCGGACCGCTTTCTTGAGGACAAAGCCTTAGGGTGTACCTTGGATAATGTCTCATTCGTTCGTTCCGTAGAGGGCTTACTCTTGAATTTCTGCCATGGTTTGTGTTTCGGGGACAAGGGCTCAATCACAGTAGCTGGCTGATTCGAACTCCGACTGTTGGGTAAATTGTCAAATGCAGGCGCCCTTGACCCATGACCCTTAGTTCTTGTCCTAGCTCTACATGGTGGTGAGCTAGTGATTGCCTCGGTGTCTATATCGATTTCAGGGGCCGCTCGTAGGATATCCGCGGCATTCGTGAATGTGGATTGTGCGTTGGCGGGTATGGTTGGGGCGAGGATTCCAGTTTGCAAGGGTGGCTTCTTAGGGCTCCTCTTGAGGAATATCTCATCGAGAGAGGGGAGGTAGGGCGAAGATGAGGATACAGAAGTCGGATTAAAGGTTCGAGGCCGAGGCGGAGAAGACATGAAGATGTCTGTAGAAGACATCGCCAGATAGACGACTGGTGAGCGCCAGGCGCCACCAGGGAAGCGGGGGACCGACAGGTTTAAGATGAATGGTAAGAATTGACCTTGGTTGCTCGGGAATCAGGGTCTCGCCATGGTCAGATTAGGGGGGAGGCACGAGGAAGGAAGAGCTGACAGTCAAGGGTGAGGCTTTGTCGTGTGTTCAATATGTATTGGTTGTACTCAGTACTTGGTTTGTATACACATACCTACATATGTAAGTGTATCCATGATTGGCTAACACAGCAAACGCCACATGCGAATGGATAAATGAGCAGACCCCGACAAGGGCATATGATAAAACTGGGGCGCGGCACTCACGCGAAATAATCTCGAAAGCAGGTGACTGCGCACGTGATCTTAGCCGAAAAGAATACCAAGGTACGAACCCCCACCAAGATCCCACCACCTGCGAGCTTGGTCAAAATTGTTGAAATTCCTTCGCGACAATATCACCATCACCAACTACATTTCCGACCTACCCAACCGTCAACGCACCCCAATTGTCAAAATGGAGAACGACCGCGGAGAACTCGTCGATCTTTACGTGCCAGTATGCAGGCATCCTTTGTGTTAATTGATACTCCGGGAAGACGCTGACAGATGCATCTTTACAGCGAAAGTGCAGCGCAACCGGCCGTCGTACGTTGTCTTCTGCTTTAGATTCTGCTTTGGATTCCGCATTTGTTTTGGAAGCGCGTCTGCCGACTCGCTGTCCCAGACCATAGAGGAGAAATAATGACTAACAACTCTATGCAATAGTGATCAAGGCCACAGATCACGCCAGTGTTCAAATCAGCGTTAGGCTCCAAACTACCTAATTGGAGCTCAACAATAGCTAACTATATCAAAAAGGTCGCCAGACTCGATGAGAACGGAAGACAGATCCCCGGCGAGAACCATGTGTAGGAGAACCCAAAGACGTCCGGCTATGTTGTCGTTCGTAAATTAACAACAATCATAGCTACGCTCTGAGCGGCTTCGTACGCGCCATGGTCAGTCTTTCTCCAATACACCGCCTACACCGTCTTATACTAAGCTAACTGTGAACAGGGCGAAAGCGATGACGCCTTCAACAGAATCACCCAGAGGGATGGCCTCC